GTTGCTTTATGAATATGCTGTCTACTTTCCGAATGAGGTCTTACATACAATATGATATGATACTGCTCAACAAGTACAATTGGTTTTGAGAGATAAATGAGTTATTTAATGGCAGCAGATTAAGCCTGTTTCCATTAAAAGTGGGAATGCCTTCCCCAAGGGTTTATCTCAGTACGTTGATCGAGGCACATTGTAGATATGCCTTCATCTTATTGTTCTCTCCTTATTTGCGGTAAATGAAATTGACTATCTGATCTTTAGTTTTCTTTCTTTTGCCATTTTTTACCAAGTAATAGTGGTGACTTCAGAGGCATTGTGGAAGTAGGTTATGGCTGGTTCTGGACATTTACAAACCTTCCGGCTTTTAAGGTTTCTCTGCAACTGGAGCTCCTTGGATGGTCATGCTAATTATGGTATCCAGATGGTGGGAAGGTTTCTGCACGTGCCATAACGAGGGACCCAATTGAATATATCAACTGCTCATTCTGTAGATTTTTCCAGCTGATTTTAAGATATGACATTCTTATGTGCTTATTTTTATGATCTTATGCATGTCATAAGCGTTAAAATTATGTGTCAAAGTGCTTATTTTATTCTGAGAGCATATAAGATAAAGATAATAAATTGGTTTATGCATATGGATTCTAAATTTCACTTGCTACAGAAGAAAGCCATATGTTGTTTATCACATATTTCAAGCTGTCAACATCTCATGCACTGCCACGCCAAATGCCTAATCATTGTTAAATCTGCCTAATTGAGGTCTCACAAACCCATTGAAGCATGAAGGGTTAAATGATTCTTTTTCCATTTCATTCATGGAACATTAACAATGTCTCTATGGCCAACATTTCATCTGAAAACGATGGCAGAATACATAAGTATGGTATGACTTCTTGGTCATGAGTCATTGTGCAGCTCAAGATGGGCTTCTTCTATGAGATAAACTATATCATGTTTGCTTGCATTAATCTGAAATGGATAGGTTGACTAACATAAATTTGAACTATTTGCTTCTTTTTAGGGCATCTTACTTTATTTGTGTGTATGCACTGATTTTAGGTGAGCTTAGTTGGCTTCTTGTTTCTTGGTGGAGGCATGAGGACATTTTCTACCAGCAACAGTTCCATTGCTTCATTGCTTATTACTCTTTATCCACGGTTGCCTACTGGACCAAATGATAACTGTTGCCACCTTCAGGTATGTTAAGATTGAGTATTGGGGTGTTTTTCCGGTAGCTTAAAAAGGATTGTGAAAGGTATATAGTTCAGCGCAACCATTGCAAGAATTTTTGTACTATCGGTTTTAGACATTTCACACCTGTGAGGTCTATTTGTCCTTGAAGAGGCTAGAATTCTTTTTCCTTATTGGTACATATGTTGTACTTTTACCTCATTTCTATAAGTAATTGTATATTCCAGGCATTCAGACATTTGTATGTCCTTGCAGCGGAGGCTCGCTGGCTTCAAACTGTTGATGTCAACACTGGGCTCCCTGTTTATGCTCCTCTTGAAGTTACAATCAGGGAAACTGAGAATTATTCAGAAACAAGTTTTTGTGAGGTTACTCCTTGCATTCTGCCTGAGCGTTCTATTGTAAGTTTCAAGATCTTTTAATAAACCTACTGGGATTGTCATTATTTCCAGACTTACTTTCCATTGAAGTGAACTTTGGAGGTTAATTAGCATGAATCTGTTGGCCTTCTGTGAGACAGTTTGAAATAGCACTTATGGCATGGAAGAACTGATTTTCTGTTGCTACTGTAACGAATCTTGTAAAAATCCAAGTTACAGGCAAATTGCTTGCCAACTACCTCTGAATCAATTGCTCTGCTAATTATGTTTGTTAATTAGAAAAATTGTCTTGTGTTTTTTATGGTTGTTTAGCATGTTGCAGTTGAAGACAGTTTGTGTCTGTGGACGTGATACTGGCCTCAAATGATTGAGCTTGTTCATGAAGGTGGGTGAAGTTTGTTGCTGCAATTTTCCTGCTATATTTCAATCTGCATATTTCTGATAATTTAAGTTGTTCCTCTACAGACAAGCCTTGGTGGAGTTTTGGGGAGAGGAATGACCCATTTAACTCTGGTATTCTCCATGTCAAACAAAAGGTTAGAGTTTGTTCATATGTGGATGATCCCGTAGGATGTCAGTCCCTGCTTTCTCGAGCAATGCATAAGGTTTTGTTGACGGAACTTTATCACTAACCAGACCTTCCCCTGATATAGTCAAGTCTTAACATGGATGTTGATTTGTCTATATCTTAGGTGTTTGGTCTGACAAGTCTAAGAGCTGGCAATCCAAGTACTAATAGCAACAATGGATCTGGTGCTGTTACGGTTGACCAGCTGGTCAGCACCTTCTCATCTGATCCAAGCTTAATAGCTTTTGCAAAGCTTTGCTGTGACCTTTCCTCGAATAGCAGGCAAGTCCAGAAATATCCTTTTTTAATTTCTTGCCAGATTCAGGCCTCCACTCCTAGAACCTGCAGTGTGGTACCCTTTTGCATGGGCCTGGACTTTATTTGTTCTTTCAACCTCCCTCCCTCCCTCTTTTCCTCTCATTGTTGATTTGGGCGCTCTATTCATGGTTTTTTGAATGGTTTGATCATGAGGATTTATTTTGGATGACAATTATTACTCATATGAAGTGTTGAAATATATTTATCTTGCCTGTTTGAGGTGCCTATGTTATCATCTATTTCATAATTTAAATGTGGTGATTGTGGGAAAATGAAAAAGAAAATGAAGATATCTGCTTTGCATATTTTTTTCTCTAGTCAAATAGACTACTTTTTTCATTCCCAAGTCAGCATTTTTGCAGATCTGATGTTGATTTCCAGGAGTTTTGCTTACAAATATTATTTGAGTGCATAAGCAAGGACAGGCCAGCTCTTTTGCAGGTAGTAGTCTGATTTAGTCCTAAATTCTTGTTTATTATAGAGGACTTTTCTCAATTACAATGCAATGGCAACAGTTAATGAATTAATTTGTTGGCATACGAATGGTCTGTTAATTAGACCAAGTTTTCTAAATTTTAAATGGTTTGGTCTATGCTTACTTTGCTCTTGTTGTCTATTTCTCAACATGTGAATGTCTTCATAATAATCTATAAGTGTTCATGTCTTTCTGCATTTTAGGTCTATTTGTCCTTGTACACCACAATTGGCTCATTGGCAGAGCAGGTTACCAGCAGTAATGTTGTTACTGACTCACTATCTGTCTCTAGTTTAAAGGTACTTCTCTGTAGCTGCTCTTTTGTATGCTTGTTTTGTGGTACAGTTTTTCATCTAGTTGTGGGATATCTGTTTTCTTGTTGTATAAACAACTAAAATACTTATGATATAAACAACTGGTTTTCTGTTTTAATTTCAGAAATGGAAGAATTAAAATCTACTCTCTATAATGCTTCCTAGTTGTGTTGAATGTGGCAAAATCTAAATCTTCTCTTTATAATGCTTCCAAGTTGTGTTAAATGTGGCGTATAGCACAGGATGTTGGATATACTCAGGGGGGCAGTTAGCGTAGAAAGTTATGAACAGAGTTGAGATAAGGGCTCATTTTGGTCTTGTTTCGGTTTGAAAGCTTCAAATTGAGCTGGTTTGTTCAAAATTTATTCTCTTTTTGCAGCATTGGTTAGTTTTAGCTTTTGGTTTCATCTGGTGCACTTTTGTTCATCTGCATCTTTATTGTTTTCATGACCTTTTGGAATTTGTATGGTCCTAATTTATTACTAGACAAACTTGATTACTAGTCTTATCTTAACAACTCCATTATAACGTTGTGGCATGGGTTACCTTATGCTCTACCTTACTCTATTCTTCAATGTATAGCAGTAATGTGGATTGATGTTAATTGATTGGAAGACGATTCCATTTATGAGTTTGTGCAGTTATCATATGATAAGAGCATAATATCTTTGGTCGAAATATTGATAAGGAAGAATTATGATATCCTCCTCTTTTGCAGCTTGCACTGTCCTAGAATGAGGCTGTATTGAGTGGAAGGTTGACCACTTCAAGAGGCGGCATTGTTCAATCTATCTTTTTAGGGTCTCGTAGGAAACGTGTAGAAGAACTCCTAAATTGTTCAGAGGCATTAAAAAACGATTTGGGTAATTATCTGAACTTGGGAAGTTGGCCTAATGACAGATCCTTTGGGGTGAAAAATACAGCAATTCTTTCTTGGTATCTTCAATGGTTTGGTGTACCAGCCTCACCTACGATCAAGACAGCAGTGGACAAAATTAAGCCTAGGAACATCTCATCATCTGCTGTTCCTTTGTTATGTTTGTTATTACCAGGCACTCACATAAATGCAATTGAAGAGATGAAGCGGTTTGTTATCTTCCTGATTGGGCAAATGATGACCTGAGAGCATTTTCCTGTCTGGTGCCTACCTTCTGTAGCAGCATCTTCCAAGGTAGAGCTCATTTGAAATCGTTTTAAATTGTACATTGCAAAAACACAAAGTGATGAGTACATGTTTTGTGCCCACCATATTCCAACTATTCGATACTGATGTGGATGAGAAAAGTACTCGAAACAGACTTCACAATGATAAATAAATGGCTGGCGCTAGGTTTGTCAAAGAGCAGAAAGAAGATGAACTATGGATGGTCCTACAAACGTATTTGGAATAGGTGTACGCAAGAAGGAACTTGGGATTTAATTCATGGAAAGCCCCATCTGCTTGGCATTGGCTGCCAGTGTAGCGTAGTTTTACGATGTAAATGTAGAGTTTTCCAGTTACCATTGAACTAAAGTTTATTTAAGTTCATTGTTGTATCATCTTGAGATATATCTTGGCGCAAATGTGTCTTGCATCCAGCCCTTGCGTCTTGTATACGAGTTTGACCCAAACAAGAGAAGTTCAGATTCGAATTTTCTATTCGAACAGAAAAAAACAAATTGAACCAAATTTTGTGTTGAGGCACCATCATACATTCACCTCTAGAAATGAATCAATATTGTCATCAGAAAAGGGGAGATAAGGAGAAAATTCTTCAGTCAAGTCTGGGACAAGATAAGCGTATACAGCAACTCGTTCCATGTATCAGGCAAGCCAGGGAGACACCAGTGCACACAATCTGCATATCTTGCAGGATCAGACCTTTGTTGTGGGGTGAGCAACTTACCACCTGGAGCTGCATATATAGATGTATGTGCATCTTTCCTGTATTCGGAAAGGGTGGTTATGTTGAGGTGGTGAAGAGGTATCTTCAGGGATTGAGTAACATTCACTGCAATCCCGAAAAGCTGGCGATTTGTGCCCACATCTAACGTAGATATGTTCAGGATCGGAGTAGTCTCGTTCGTACACTTGATCCCATTTTTATTATTCCAGACAGAGCTCCTGTTCAATTTGCATACAAATATCAAGTAACAGTTGCTTTGAATGGAAGAGGAAATTGAGTTAAAATTTGAAGTTTTGCTTGTTCATACTTCAAATGTGAAGGAGCCATACTGCTGAAGAAAACTGAAGTTTGGTTTGGATCGACATTTTCTTCCACCCATTTGCCCCATGACTTCAAAACACTCTCATATGCTATGTTCTGATCAATTTCAACGTAATCTGTCGACCCATCATCGAAGGATCCTTGTCTTTTCAATCGGTTTCAAAGGGAGAATTAAGAGTGAAAATTTCCAAGATTTCAGGACCGTAGACTAAAATGTAGAAGACATAAAAAAACTCAACCAGTACTACTTACAGTACTTTCGTGGTTGGATATCTCCACCAAATATATGTATTGAAAATGAGGTAATCCACACTTTTCCAGTTATCTCCATGCTTTGAGATTGATTCAAGCTTGATTACTGGATCAACTGTGCCATCCCTCATTGTTGGAGGGTCTACATTGGACTCAACCAAAAATGGTGCCCAGTAAAACTCCAATGTAGCATTATATTCCTGCAGTTCAAGTAGCTATACTTTTCAACAAATTCTTCACTCTCTCAATTTATTTGAATCAGTCAATGAGTTAAAGAAAAGAGAAACAGCAATTTTACCTCCATTTTAAAGATTGTGGTATAGCTTGCATAACTAAAGCTTTTCTTCTCTGGTGGGATGACAGATTGAACCATACAAACCATGGATAGCATCTGGCTAAAATGTATGGAGTCCCCAACAAACATAAGCCTCTTTCCCTTAAGTTTCTTCAGCAACAATTTTGCATCAAACCTTAATCCAGAAAGAGAAAATTCATTAAACTAAATGGAACAAATCTACTACTGAACAAGAAAAGAGAAGTATTTACTTGGGCAAAGAGCAATCTCTGGGCTGCCATCTCCATTTCTGGTATAGGGAATCAGGCCTTCCATTCTTTAGGCATGTCGCCATCTCAGTAAGAAACTCACAGTCTTCTTCTTTGTATAAAGGGTGTGAGCCATCATCAAAAACCCATTCTCCTGTGAAGATATCACACTCTTCTGGTGGCAAAACAATCCTTCTATTGTCACCATCATCCACCTCTTCCGCACTTCCATGTATTTCTACTTCAGCTTTGCTATCATTCTGTTCCTTGTTTGTTCCTTGAACTTTAACAATGCTTGAGTTGGAAGATTCCTGGAATGGTGTTTGGTATCTGAAATCTGGGAATGGAATGATTTTCATGTATTCATCATACAAAAAGAATCCAAAGAATAAAGTTGAAAAAACTAATATGGTTACTTTTGGGTTGTAATTACATCTCTGGGTCATACCAACATGCTTCATTGTTACCTATTTTCTATCAGAGAATCAAATAAGGCTTTGAACTTTTCTCTTCTTGCCTTCTTTCTTCTTCTTTTTCTCGGCTTTGAATGTAAATGAAAGCCATTTTTTCAATGGCGTAGGTCAACTTCCCATTTCTTAACTAACTCCAGTTTCTAGAATGATTTGGATTATATGCACCTACTTACATTGTTTAATGTATTTTTGCTGGAAAAGCTGTCCTCTTTTGAAAGATTCTTTGTTTATATTAAATGTTCAGTTGTCTTGTCACAATCTCATTATAAAATGCTAAAAATGCTTACGACAGCAGAGAGAGATTGAGAGCAAAGCTGCAGTTCAGAGAAATAAGCTGTCTTGAAACATTCAAAATGATCATGCTAGACTGTAGCTTTCCTTTACTTGAAGGAATTGGCAACCATGAAAATTGCCTGGACTTGCTATAGAAATTTTCTTAAAATGAAGAAGCAAATTCTTGCTGATATAGGTCATTTGTGAATCATATTTATCTATTGTCTTTTATTTGCTTTTGGTCTTGCAATTATTTATTTTGTCATCAAAAGTCCAAGCAAGACAAATCTATTTGTATAAATAAATAATTAGGTATTGACTTTAAGAAACTAATTACTCGATGATGAGTTAGAACCAAACTCTTCCACTGTTGTGGGGGCAGGAAATATGTGCAAATAAGTGCTTTTAAATTTATCCTTCAAAGGGAAAAAAGTAGGATTTTCTTGAGGTTTTTCTATGCAGCTACACAAACTGACTCAAGAATTCTTTAATAAATCATATTCAATTCCAATTTGTAGTTCATCAATCTTCAAAAGAAAATAAAAAAGAAGAAATTGTAGGTCGTCAAGAATGTGAAATGATGTGTGTATAAAGGAGTTCATTCCAAGTATCAGGTAACCCTGGTAGGCACCAATGTATGCAGTCTGCATATGTAGCTGGATCGGCCTGCTGCTCCGGCGTCAGCAATTGGCCTTGCCGGGTGGTATAAACAGATGTATGTGCATCTTTTCTATACTCGGAGAGGTTGGTAATGTTGAGGAAGTAGACAGGTACTTTCATGGATTGAGTCACATTGGCTACTATCAGGAAAAGCCTGTGGTCTGTGCCAACATTTGGTGGGGTGGGCATGCTCATCACTGGAAGAGTCTCCTTGGCACACTTTATTCCATCCGGGTTGTTCCAATCCAAACTCCTGTTCCACGGTCATGAGGCATTGGTTATATCATTCATATGATGAACAAGTAAATGACAGAATCAATTGGCCACAATTCTAAACAATGATTGTGTAAAAGAAGTAAAAGATTTTAACTTGATATGAAGAGGGGACATGCTCATGAAATAGACTGAAGTTAACTTGGAATCAACATTTTCTTCAATCCACTTAGCCCATGTCTTCAGAACTCTGCCATAAGCTATAGGCCGTTCGATTTCATCATACTCAATGGGATCTGCATCGAATGATCCTCGTCTTTCCAAACAACATCACATTGAAATGTATTAACCTCATGAACAATTTTCCTGCTTTGGATTATGCAGATAAGTTCATAGCAGAATAATAAGAAAGGTTTTTAATACTTACAGGACTTTCATGTATCTAGTGTTCATCCACCAAATATATGTGTTAAAAATCAAGTAATCTACACCCTTCCAATCATCTCCACGGTTCTTGATTGATTCAGGCATGATTATACGGTCTTTTATACTGTGACTCCATGGATTGTCTGAATTAGATTCAACCAGAAATGGTGCCCAAAAGAACTCTACTGTGGTATTGTACTCCTATGCTAGCATTCAACAAAAATGTCACATCCAATGGCCAAAAATACTTGCGGGTGTTAATTGACAACTGAGAAACTAGTTGAAGAAATTAATAATGGAGTGTGGGTTGGCATAAAAATTTCAATTTATTATTGGAAACCAATCACATAAGTCATTTTGCATTACCCATTTCTTTAATGTGCACATCTTTTCATGAAATTGCATTAAAATTTTTTTTTCTTTGCAAATTTCTCCTAGGTCGAAAAGAAAGAAAATGACCCCAAACATGTGCATCATTTCAACATGGAAGCAATGAGAGAGGTTGTCGGCAGGACAGGACCTGTCAAATATTCTTGAACAGATTTTAATTATTTCACTGGTTAAGCATGAATGATTTTGAGTAAAAACCATCCTTTAAACTTTTCAAAAGATCAGAAACTGAATAGGAGTAAGGAAGAAATATACCTCAATGCTGAAGATAACTAGAGAACCTGACTTTTTGTGGCTCTTCTTTCCTGAAGAAATAACAGATTGCAGTAGACAAACCATGGATTCCCACTGGTTTCTGTTTAATGAATCCCCCACAAACATTAGCCTCTTTCCACGAAGCTTTTCAAGCAATAACCTTGGTTTGAATCTGACCATATCCAAAAACAAGTAGCTCAGTAACGAATTAATTATACCCCCTTTTTTTTCCTCAAGAGAAACAGTTCAAAAATGTTACTAACTGATATACTTACTTGGGCAAAGAACAATCCCTGGGTTGCCATCTCCAATTCTGATAAAGTGAATCCTGTCTTCCATTTCTAATGCAAGTAACTTGTTCTGAGAGAAACTTACATTCATTTTCTTTATACAAAGGATGAGTTATATTATCAAAAACCCAGTTCCCTGTGAAGAGATCACAGTCCTTAGGTGGTAGCTTAACTTCCTCATCTTCCTCCGTGATTCCTAGAGGTCTAAACCTTGACAAGAAAATGGACCTTGCCACATGTCTAAAATCTCCTTTGCAGATAAACCATTTGGATGGAAGTATCAATATAAGGGACACCAGAACAAGTACTTGACAGCTTTTAGTACTTTTATGGCTGATGCTGCAGCTGTGCTTCATAGCTTGAAGAAATGAAACAGCTAACACTAAGAATCAGATGGAAGATAAAGATCAGAGATTGAAAGAGAAAATGACTAACCTGGAGTAGTTTACTTCAACTACCAGCAAAAGTGTGAGATTTGTCTTTCCCACTTTTTCTTTTCGATCAGTTTCTGACCATAATCTTCATATCTGATTCAGGATATGTCGATAATCTCAATGATTCTATTGTACTATATAATTTCTTATTAATAGTTAATACTTGCCCAAACCAAATCTAGGAAAACCTATAGAAAATTGACTAACGCTGTAAAAGCAAGGTCTTCACGCTTCACTTGGCACCGCTATGATTTTTCTAACTTAGCCCCTTTTCACTTTCCCCTTTCTCATGGACATAACTAAGGAGGAGAAAAAAAAACAAAAAAATCTAAAAATTGATTTAAAACTATAGTATTCTGAATTATTTTTTTATTTAGTTTGAATTAAATTTAAATATTAAATATATATTAAATTTAAATTAAATTTTAGATCAAAAAATAAAAAATAAAAAAAATTAAATCGAATGAATTTTTTTTTGAAATTTTTATATATATTGTAAATTTTTTTAAAATAAAAATAATATTTTGTATTAAATTTTATTTAAATATATTAAAATTTTATATTAAAATAATATATAAAAATTAAAAATCGATAAATGAATTCAATTAAATTTGATTCAAATCAAATTTAAATTAAAATTTAGATTCAAATCAAATTTTAAAATATTATATAATATTTTAAAAAATAAAATTTAATTTAATTTTAAAAAAATCGTTATTATCTCTAGAGATATTAGTCAATAGCCACTCATTTATTTCATTCCCCGAAAATATGGGTATGGTTTTAGCATGCCTTACCAACAAGATCTAATGTCTAGTGTTTTATATTATAAATTTATCTGTCTTTCTTTATTTTTGGTTTTATAGTTTGGTTCCCATTCCACAGATTAAGCAGCCGACCCGACTCTTCTATGCAGCTGTAACAGAAGCACGTGCCTGCTTTCATTACATTTTCCCTCTTAAAAATCAATGTTGGATGAGGTAAAAGTTACACCATTTCAAGTCATTGATGTAACTGCAAGCGTATCAGCTTTATTTCCAGTTTTCCTTCACAGTTGAAATACCATTAAAAACATGTTGCAAGGATTTGAGAAGCTTCATTCAATGGGGGAAATAACAAGATAATTAGGCAATACATCTTTCGGGAAAGAAAAACAAAACAGTAATTCAATAGAAAACAAATGAGTATTATAGAATTTGTACTCCCGAATCATCTAAACCATGGAGTAAATTCGCCATGGAGATGGATTAATATAGGTAATCTGTCGACAAAATGTGCAATTATAGTATCTTAATCATCCGAAGTAATTGGCAGATCCAAAATTGAAGTAAGGCTAAGGGAGATTAATGGACATCTCAACGTGATTATCAAGAATGCTATTGATGGTCAAATTATATGACTAGTCATTGGAGTCATACCTCTAGAAACTTATGGAACTTTTTCTGACCGACATGCTATCAAAAAGATTCCTTGTAACTGGGGAACAGAAACGTTATCTTTTCTTTTGGCACATTGATGGAGCTTGCCCCTGTAAAGCCTTTTCTTTTAAAGGCAAGTAATATATAAGAAACAACATAGAAAATCATGTGACATGTTTTAGCTATTGGAACTGGCTTGTCTTCGCTGATATTTTCTTGTCAGTATAATGGCTGATAGGGCAGTTTCTTACCATTTTAAAAGATTGGGTACATTTTTTTTTGGCCACTGGGACTAATTTTTGCTTTACGGGTTCTTGGAGCAATTTCTATGAATTGAATTGACTCTATTAAGGTATAAGAAACTAGCTGAAGAAGCTCTAGTATTTAAAGAAGCAAAAGCAAAGAACTGATATATAGTGTAAGAAAAGGAAATTGTGTTTGTATAAGCCTTTATTTCCCTTTGCAAGTTTCCAACATATGCATTATACAATTTTGTGCATTGGCAATTAGGCTAGCTCTTGCTCAGTCAAGTGATGAAATTTGGCATTCTTGGCTTCCACCTCAGTCCCCATTAAATCATCAGAAAAGGTAAAACCAAAAATTTTCTTACGGTCCATCCCCTATACTTCTTCCACCCTATATGAAGCTACATCAGATCAAACGTTGAAGAGAAAATTACGGAAGCTTACAAGGAAAACAATGACTGAGGTAATGAAGCCATACCCAAAACAAAAAAAAATTAAAAAACAAAAAAACAAAAAAAATTAAAAAAATTAAAGTATATTGATAATATGAATTATATCTACGTGTCACGAGCGGGCAATTATACGTGTGTAAAGGAACTCGTTCCATGTGTCGGGTAACCCGGGAAGGCACCAATGGATACAATCAGCATATGTGGCCGGGTCAGCCTTCTGTTCTGGGGTTAGCATTTTGCCTTGGCGGATGGTATAGACTGAAGTATGTGCATCTTTTCTGTATTCTGAAAGGCTTGTAATGTCAATAAAATGGACAGGAACTATCATGTTTTGAGTAATGTTGCTGGCAATGACATATAGCCTACGGTCAGTGCCCACATTTAGGTACATTGATTGGTTGAGAATTGGGGTAGTCTCCAGGGCACATTTGATCCCGTCTGGGTTGTACCAATCCAAGCTCCTGCACACATTGGTTGGTTGTAAATTATGACAGCTTTCAATGAAGAAAAAAAGCCTCAAAAGAAGTTTTCTTTTATATAATGCATCATATCGTCCTAAGTTTTGTCGATATTTAATCTCTTCCTCCAATGATATTAAAAGCACATTCTTTCACATTTTGATTCATTCAAAATTCTTTCTACAGCTATGGAACCTCTCTGGAACTGATCCTTGTTACTCTCAAAAGAACAATTTTGGTTCAAACATAAACTGATAATAATTAAGAAACACATGGACATGGTTGTTTCATTTACCAACCAAAGGGTTAGGACAATAGTCTGGTCTAATCATTATTGGTTGAAAGGTCATGGGCCCACTGTCAACCACTGACATTGTCCTAAATAAGATGCTTTATTCCAACTACGTGAGTTAATGACAATCAGAAGAAGATGAACACCTAATTAAGCTAATAGATTAATTTGCTTAATCACAATTAAAAGGGCATGCACAAGTGGAATCTGTCACCCTGCATAGCAATGAGCTCCAGCTGTTACTCAAGACAAAATATTTGCAAGATGCTTGGGGTTTGTTTTTTAGTTATCTTCAACAAAGAGACAGACAGTGAGTTAAAAAACTTAAAAGGTTAGGTTATCTTTTTGGTGAAGTTAGTTATAGCTACTCTTAAATTGTATAAAAATGTTTTTGACTCGTGTTTCTATTACAACTAGAAAAAAAAAATTAATGTGGTAATACTAAGGAGGAAAGCAATTAGTATTATAGAATAGAAACTTAAAAGGTAGGCCATTGATTTATTACTTGATATGAAGAGGAGACGTGCTGCTGAAGAAGACAGTGGTTCGATTTGGATTCACATTTTTATTAACCCACTTGGACCATGTGGTCAACACTCTCTGATATGCTATTGGCCGATCGATCTCATCATATTCTGTATCTCCTCTATCGAATGATCCTCGTCTGTTACATCAATGCAAGAAAAAATATCCACCCCACATGAGATTATTAATTCCAAAATATAGTGATACAATTAAATCAAACATTGATGTAATGTTTAATCACTTACAAGACTTTCATAGTGAAGGTGTTCATCCACCAGATATATGTGTTGAAGATCAAATAGTCCACATCCTTCCAATTCTTGCCATGTTTCTTGATTGATTCAGGCATGATTATACGATTCAAGATGCTGTGCATGTCTGGGTCATCTGAGTTTGATTTCACCAGAAAAGGGGCCCAATAAAACTCCACTGTCGCATTGTAATCCTGCAAAGACAAATGTTCACAATCAAAATCCTGCAAGGGTTTTATTTCTTGAATTCTTTGGGATAGTTCTTAAGCAAAGGTCCATAAACTTATTTTTCATTCCTTTGTTTTGCTTTTCTTGGGGATGAGGGAACAGAAAAAAAGGGGGGAGGTTCCAAAATGAAGCTTGTCTTGTTGCTGCCACTACTTGTATTATCACATGCTCAGACCAAAAGTTTATAGTGACTAAAATAAAGCAGTCGTGTGATACAATTATGACTATTAATCATCATGAAAGAGAAAAGCATTTACTTCAATTATACTAAAAAAGTTGTGCCAGAAAGTTTAGAATGAATGCCAGAAGAAAGTGACATCCCATCGAATCTTGGCAAGCGGGGGATTTACCTCAATTCTAAACACAGAGAGAGAACCTGACTTCTTCAAGCTCTTCCTTCCAGGAGGGGCAGCAGATTGAACCAGACAAACCATGGATTCCCATTGATTTCTGTTCAATGAATCTCCAACAAACATAAGTCTTTTATTCCTCAGTTTCTCAAGAAATAACCTTGGTTTGTACCTTGTAACAGAAAAAAAGCCGGTCAGGATCATCTGCATGTACAAAAGTTAACAGAGAAACAAGAAAAAGCATATGTAATTCCAATTCAAGAACTAAAAAAATGGTCTTACTTGGGTAAATTACAATCTCTAGGCTGCCATCTCCAGTTCTGATACAAAGAATCTTTTCTTCCATTCCTCATGCAAGTTACTTGTGCTGTAAGAAACTCACATTCATCTTCTTTGTATAAAGGATGTGTTTCATTGTCAAAAACCCATTGTCCAGTGAACAGATCACAGTCTTCAGGAGGCAATTCAACATCCTCATCATCTTCTTCAATGGCTGGTAGCTCAGCCTTTTGTTCTTCTTCTTTCTCTTCTACCTTCTGCTCATCATCTTCATCTTTCACCACCACTGATTTCAAGTCATGATCAGGTTCCTTTGTTGTTTCCTGATCAGGTGAAGTTCTTGGGTTCAATGACACCACATTTTCTTTCTCATTCTTGATAGATTCTCGAACTAGGTTGCCTTGTTTTGATTGCTCCTCTTGGATTTCACTAGGTTTAGGCCTTGAAAATGGAAACTCAGCTATGGACTTCACATCCTCATTGTACATGAAAACCCCGAACAAAAATACAGAGAAAACTACAACAAATATGGAAAGATTATTGTTTTTGCGGTGCTTCATCACTCCTGTTTCACTGAAGGGAGTCTTTCGACGACCTGGCTGCATGAGAAAAGTATTGCTTGGATCAGAAAAGAAGGGAAATGGAAGGAAATATAGAGAGGAAAAGAAATGAACAAATTACATATGTTTGGACAGAAAGATAATGTAATTGGGTTTATTATGTTTGTTTAATTCAGGTTTGGTGAGAAGGGTTTTTCCTGAAGAAACTGGTTAGGATTTCTGGTGGAGGGAGACTTATCTTCTTCTGTTTTATTTTTCTTTATAATTCCATTGCTAACTACTTTCTTTTCACTTTTTTTTTTTTTTTATCAAAACAAACTCCCAAAGAAAACTGAGGAGTGATTTCAAAGCTTTGCCAAGTTGGTCTTAATCTACCTATGATTGGGACTTGAAGTTGGAGGGTGTGGTGCAGTGTTGTAAATCTGGTAGACCCCATGTCTATTAGATTGTGATATGGAAGCTTCATCAGACATGGAAACTTATTGGCTATACCATATTTCATCAGATTTTCCGTGGAAAATATTTGAAGTTAAAACTCAAAACCCTTTGTTCAACAACCTGGAAAGGATAATATATGCTAATCAGATGGTTTATGATTGTTTCTTGGATAAAAATGAAGGATAAAAAAAATCATTCAATCATTTTCTTGTAGAAAGATGAAGACTAGATCAATGACATTAAGATATATCAGATACATTTTAATTTCTCTTCAGGAATTTTAGCTTTTGCTATTTATATTCCCGGAGACTAGATGTTGCTACTGCATGCTACAAATTAAATTTATGTCTAATCATGTTTGTTATTTTGTGGGGTTACTCTAAAATAAAATCTCAGAATGGTAGGCAGTTCCAACAATCCTTTGGACCACAGCACAGCTGAGGCAGAGAAAAGCTTGCATAAAACAACGGTGAGTTCTATAATAAACAAATCTGAATTGCCAGCATGCTTTGCCACAAGTCAAACAAAATAATTTTGATACTATTACCATAAGAATCTTGTTTTATATTAACTAAAACTTTTTTTTATTCTTACATAAAGAAAAAGGATTCAAAATTGCTCCTTGAACGATCACACTTTAATTATTGAGCTGAATGTTTGGATGCAAATTATTATTGAATATTAAGGAATAATGAACCAGACTTCTTATTTTTCATTTCAATACATTGAAAATTGATTTTATTTTTAGTGAACCGTTAATCAGTGCTGGATTATATTTTATAAAAAAATATGTAATTAATAGTCTTGTGATAGAAATTAATTTTTAGCAATCATATTCACCCTTTTCAATCAATCATATAAACAAAGAAAAACATAAAAAATTCTATAAGTAACCTCCTCATTCAAATGGTGTTTGTCTGTAAAACTTCACCTAATCATCCTTTCAAATGTCAATGTTTTTATTTGGTGCAATGTTAATAAACCCCTCTAATACATAATTATTAACTTTTCCAAACCAAAAATCTTAATAAAATATTCATGATAAGTCATGTGATATCTTTCTTTGTCCACAACAACTGTAAGCAATGGGCTGTTGATGCATTATCAAGGCTCTTGACAATCATGATGATATTGGTTTCAAATTCTAAAAAAAATAAAAGCCCAAAATTCCAAATTATTAGTAACTTTATGTTTGAGAAAAGTAAAGCCTAAGGAACCTTTTTTTCTGCTCTGAATGCATCAGAAATCAGAAAAACATGTTTGGGTTTGTGTTCTTTCTCACTTCTCTGCCCTTTTGGTGGTAGTTTGAAGGGTGAGCCATCACTTTTATTCCAAGCCAAGCTAAGCGGCTATACTGAGTATAATGTACATTACCGTGCAAAGAAAGAAAGAAACAAAGACTGATTTTTACACTCTGATTAAATTTTCTTTACCTACATTTTGGTTTTCAAAGCATCTCTATCAAGTTAGATAAGTTATCTGTTTATGGAAGATGGTTTACTTAGTTATGTTAGCCCTTTTCAAGGACCAAAATGTTTGAATGCTCAACATGCCTTGGAGACATGCTAACCTTGAAATGTGATACATGTCCGATTATGTTTATTCTCCCATATTAATAAGATTAATATATTTTAAAATTTTGAAGTTTTAGGTTCAAAGTTTTATCGTGTGTAGATTTAATATGATGATGTACTGTCAATATATAAAATCTATACACTATTAATAAATCGGATGATACCACCTCATTAATGAGATGAATCAGATAATAACACCTCATTAATAAATAAATTTTTTAATTTAATTTTTGTATATTTATTTTAAGGGTTAATATTCATTTATTAATAAAGTAGTATCATATGATTTATTGACAGTGTATAAAATTTATACACTGATAATGCATCAAATACAAACTTTTTTACTTTTATATTAAATTTAACATACGGTAGACTACAATTGTAATTTTCTTTTGTATTAATAAATTCATAAAAAATGAGAATAAAATTTTCAATCAGAATGAAAACTAGGGTGGCTTACCTTTGATTCAAGATTTTCAATTTGATAAAAAAAAATTGATATAACTCTAAAAGAAAACAAAACAAAATCCAACTCCAAACCAATAGATTTTGTCTTTTTGGATTTAGAATTAATGGGTTTATCAAATGCCCAAAGTTATTTTGATAGGAAAGGGCCCAAAGATGGGAAAGATGGGATACTATTGCATTGATAATTGGACTGCTTTTAGGCCTCTTAGATGTATTATCAAGGCCCAATGTTTTAGCTAAGCTGTTTTAGAATGGGTTAAGGATTCCAAGCCAAGTCTTTTACAATTTTTTTTTCTTCTCCTCTTTGGGATTTGATTGAAAAATAAATTTAACTTCTGATATCCTTCCTCTTTAATTCCATACTTTGGGAATTCCTTTTTGTTCATCATGGCTTACAGAATTTTTGAGAGAATCGAAATCGATTCGATCATTGAATAAATCACCTGGATTAATAGATTATGAATTCTTTGAAGCATTCAATGATAAATATTATTTCTTAAATATGATTGCATGCTTTGAGTTTCCAATGACAATAAAGTTTGATAAATCATTTTGCCATGAAACTTGTTGTCCATCACTAAATCTCACAAAATGATTGATAAAGACAAAGAAAGGAACCAAAACAAAAATTGTACTACAAAAATCCCATTATTGAAACTTTAGATGCGATATCTATCAAGTGGATCTTTGAAGAGGAAGCATTCATGATAAACTCTCCATGCATAGTCTTCAAATGAAAATGAATTAAACAATCTCTCTTCTTTCTTCTCCTTATTGCCACGAGCTTGACTTTCCTCATCGTCGCTAATTCCAATATCATCATCAACGCCCATGGGAAGGAGAGGAGTGACCCTACTGTCAATTGGAAGTGTCACTAACAGTGACATTGATACACAACGGTAGTTGTTTCCGTCGCCCAAACATGCCACGGGTCTTCCTCTCACTTTCTTTAGTTTCCCATTGCTCCAAACCTATCCAATATATATATAATATATATATATATATTAACATTTATTAGGAGAAACTTAATTAGATTTGCTAGCTTATGAAATATATGAAAATAAATAATTAAAACAATCATTAATTTCTTCTCTTGTACTAATTTTTATTTTCATGGAATTTTAAAGAAGCAACATTGATTTTAATGTATTTTATTATTTTTAATAAAATTCATGTTCTATGATCTTAATATGAAAATAAATAAAAATAAATTCATAATATAGAAAAAAAAATAAAGTTCTAAATTGTTAAAAAAAATAGATAGTTTAGATGTACTAAAAAATAACAAAGAAAATAAAACTAAAGCTAAAATTAAAAAAATTGAACATTTTGAATTTTAATTTTCATTTTATGTCTCAATAAGGAAGTTAATGTTTATTAATAATTAATAAACATTAATTATTATGAACCAAAAAAATATTAATTACTAATAATTAACACTAGTAATTAATTAGTATATGAAATAAATCTTACTTGAGCAATGTCACCGAGAGTGACCATGATTGAGTCCACTTGGGGTGAAACCGAAACCCAACCCGAATCCGCCAACAAAGAATATTTTTGGCACCTGAGTTGGTATTGCAACCCAATGACATACGGGTAAAACCCGCCCGATGGTTTTTTATTTTCCCCATGCAAACCTTCTGATATCCACATCAAAGAACAAAACCGGGTCGGATTCTCTCCAATCGGGTTCTCAAACCCTACTGCATTTGCCAACGCATCAATGATCTTCAACCCCAGTTTCTCCAAACCCTGAGTGAACTCACGTAGAGAACTCAATAACAGGTTTGTTGACTCAGTTGAACACTCAGCATCCAAGCAAAATGACTCAGTACCCTTCCCATCCTCGTCTTCTTCCTCATCAGCGTCAAAGCCTAAAGGCCAGTTTTTAGGGAAACATGACTCTTTTTGGTCCTTAGTGAGTTCAAAGAGAGAGTGTGATTCAGTTTCAGCTGAGTTAGCGAGTTGGGAAGATATGTCATGGGAAGTGAGTTGGAAGAACCCGAGTTTGGAAGCAGAGGAGAGGAGAAGATGATTAAGGTTAGGGTCAGAGAAAGAAAGGCTAGGAGGAGAGGTGGTGGATGGGGAAGAGCGGCGAGTAGGGAGGGAGAGAGTAGGAGGGAGACGGTGGAGGAGCTTGGAAAGTGCATCAGCGGCGTCGGATGACGAGACAAGGTGGTGGTTGGGCTGCGCGGAAGGGGTTGGAGGTGGGGCTGCGATGGCGCCGTACAAGTTTGGCAAGTGTTGCTGTTGCTTGTGAGTTGAGGATGCCATTGTAAGGAAAAACAGAGAAGTCTGAGCCAAACCAATAATTGTGTTTTTAAATACATATAGAGTGGTTGGTGCTTCACAAGTGTGGTGCTAATTACAATGGAAGGTTTGAATTTTTATTTAATTATTTTAATATGAGTTAGCTAAAGATAATGTTAGCAGAAGTTAGGTCAAATGAGTCCATCATATCAAGTGTTTTATTTGGTATTTTTACTTAAATAATTGGAAATATAATTAAAAATCAAATGGCCTATTATTAGGTAATAGCCTGCACTTCGTTTTGATAGTATAATAAAGATGTAATATATATATATATATATATATGAGAGAGAGAGAGAGTTTAAAAATTGAACAATGAAAAAAATAAATAATATACAAATTTATATAATTTAAAGAATTTAAATATTTACATTATTTAATCTTAATAATGTTGAGATATAAAACTAATCCATTAAAGAATAGTTTATTAGTCATCATGATTGAATTACATAAAAATTAAATCTTGCATGGTATTGCATTACAAAAAAAATTACTAATTCAAAATATTATTCGTTATAAAAAATAATTCTAGTCTTTGAAAAAAATGTTTTATGGAACTATAAAGTTTACCTAAACTCTAATAAGTTAAATTTTGTTAATAATCGAATACAAACAAAAAAAATTATTATTCTAAAACATTATATGTTATAAAAAATAATCATCAGTGTTAAATATTATCCTCTTTAACCTTCAAATATGAAAATGTTATTGAAATACTTTTATATACTTAAATTAACTCCAAAATCTCTTAGGTATAATAATGAGTTTGGTCAAGGTGATTTTTTCTTACCCTAACTCCAACCCCATTTTCAAAATATTCCATATGATCCAACAAAATATCATGTTATTATTTTTTATACCCAATTTCAATAACTTGTTTTCGATCTGCATTTGATTTGAAATTAATTTAATAAATTTAATTGAGTGTAATATTTATAAAAATATTAATTTTTAATATAAATAGCATCTTAATTATATAAAAGTAATATTTTTATTAAATTAATATATTAAATTAAGATATTAAATAATATTTTTATTAATATATATAAATTAATATAAAATTAAATAAATAATATTTTATATATATATATATATATCGATGCAATTGAGACAAAATACCTTAAAATTCACCTCCAACCCAATTTTGATTTTTCTAAGAAATACTCATCTCACATTTGATTCGACCCTTAATTTAAAATTTATCATGTATAAATTGTTATACCATCATAAAATCTTTTTAAAATTAATTTAAAAAACAATTTTGATCTTAACAAATATTATCGAAATCTTAAATACATATTATAATTTATATCGATATAAAAATAAAAAAAATTTTTATTTTGTTAAATCTAAATATAATTTTTATTATTTTAAATTATATTACTTTCATATTTTATATTTATATCACATTTATATTATATTATTATATCATATTTTAGATTACTTTGTATAAAAATAATGGAGACCTGCATCAATGGTTTTTTTTTTTTTTTTTTAAGGTTAATCGTCAAAAAAAGCCAAAGACATGAAATTTATTTATTTCTTTTGTCATTTGAATATGAGATATGAGGCAAAGACAAAGTGTCATGGATAATGACATCTTTATAGTTTAATGTCGCTTGTAGAAAAGCAATAGCTTTCCTATTGACAGTCCAAGTTTATCATTATCATATTTATTTTTGACAAATTGAGTTTGAATATACGATTATCTTAGAGGATTGGCCCACCCCAATAAAAATTAATTCAGTTGATAAGGTTAGGAGTTTTTTTTTTTTTTTTAAATTAAAGTTCAATTTTTGTATAAGTTATTTAAAAATAAAATTTTGAATTCCTTAAAATGATTTGAGAGAATACGGTTTTAAATTATATTAAAAAAAAAAATCCCTTACTTTCCTGTCAAGATCAATTTTAATACAAGTTGTGATAATAATCAAATAAACAATAAGATCCACTTAGATTAATGTAAGTGTTACATTTTTTTTAATTTTTGAATAAAATTAAATTTAAAGTACATACATTTAATCATTTTGATTTAAAAATTAAAAAAAAAAACAATTATACTTATATAAATGAATCTCTCTTCTCAAATCAATTGCTCGATATTCTATTAAACAATCTATTTTCGTAATGTGCTATGCTTTCTTTGTAATAAAAAAAATTAAGACAAATGCAAGCAAAGACAAATTGTTAGATCATGCCATGTTTGAAAAAGGTTATTTCCCTCTATTTCACTCTAATCCTATATATAAATTTTGCGTATTTCATTTTACACATGTTAAATTTTGATTTTTTATTTGCTTTTAATTTTTTATATTTAACAAATATTTTTATATTTATATATATATATTTTGTGTCTGGAGCCCTTGTAGAGTGTTACGTGCTAAGCTTTTTTTTTTTTTTTTTTTTCCTTTTTATATTTACTATTTTTTATCTTTAGATTTTTTCTTTTGTAGGGTCCATTTGATGTTATGTTTCAAGGCCTTTGTTTTTCTCATTTTCTTTTCATTTTTCTTATTTTTTCTTTTCATTTTTTTATATTTAATAAATATTTTTAAAAATCTTTTGTAGGATTCATTTGATATTATCGATTAAAAATATTTTTTTTTCATACTTTTCTTCTTTTCTTTTTCCTTTAAATTAGATAGCTTTGTAAAAAATTACAAAGAGATATGCACAAAAGTATCTATGTAATGTCCGGATTTTATTTTTTTCAACTCTTTCTTTTTTATAAAGTTTTAATTTTTAAAAAAGTTTATAATATAAATTTTATAAAAAAAAAGTTCATTATTGCTAATATCGCATATCAATTCAGCATTTATCTTTTTTTTTTTCATTTTGCTTTTTGTCTTTTCTTTTTCTTCCTTTCTTTTTTTATTATTGAAATCTTCTGTCTCTATGCATTATCTGTATACTGACTTAATAAATAATAGGTTTAGCGTTTGGCACAAGGGCAAATAGCATCCAGTATACAGTGGGAATCCAATATAACTGCTTTCAAAGTCAATTCATTGCACCAGCTACATGTATAAAGGATTTTGTATCCTTCTTAAGATGACACCCATCATGTACCCCCAATCCCTTGTTTTCAGGGAAACAGATAAGAATGCTGGTTTTGCAATTCAAGAAACCAATTTAATAAGGCCAAAAATCCTCTTTTCATGCTGACTGAGCTGAAATAGCAAATTGTTGCATTAATTGTTATGTATGCTGTCAATCTGTTATATTAATTGAGCAACCTCTATGCTAATCTTTGTGTATGTCAGTCAGTTGCTACTCTCTCCATACCATCTCTGTGCATGTATGTATATGGTGTGTGGGGAGAAGCAGGGTTGTCATGTGCCTGCATAGGTGCCTTACCTCTTAAAAGTTTAAGGTTGTAGTCTTCTGTAAAAGCAGGACAAATTCTGGTGGTTAATGTGCATAATATACTTTCTGGTTCATTTTTCATTGTTTGTTTGCTTTAAAAATTGCATTCTTAAGTAGAGTATTGGTTGCTTTCGAGAATGGGTTGCCTGTCATCTGGGATGTTTCTGAAGATAGAATTGTTATAGTTAGAGGCAATTCTAAGGATCTCCAATTACGAGGCAGAACTGCATCTTCTGACTGTAAATCAGGGAGTGACGAAGTGGAGAAAGAGATAAGCTCTCTTTGTTGGGCATCCAATGAGGGGTCAATTCTTCAGTTGGTTATGTAGATAGGGATAGGGATAGCATGCTTATCTATATCAGTTATTTCCATCAATTCAATCCTGACATAGATTAAAACTCAAGGATGAAATACATCAGTTCGCCAGCTATCTCATCCTAATCTTTATAGGTGAACTGTGGCACATATTGTTTTTCAACAGAGAACTTGATTCTTTGTCTCAGTGGTAGAGTTTAAACTTTAGCCCTTATGTACCAAATTGGACCCTCTCGTGGCTTTTACAGATGTTTCAGTGTTATTCTTTTTTCACCAAGAGCGATGTGAATCAGTAGTCCTGCAAATCAAAACCTAAACCATCATTCTTCTGACTGCAAGTATTAAAGCTTTAATCTCAAAAGTTTTTCCATGAATAATTTCTGTCTTTTACAGATCTTGAGCCCTGAATGGTCTTCTGGAATAGGAAGTCTGAAATATGTCAACCATAAGGACCTTACTGATGCAAAACCAAGGCTCAGAACAGCTAACGAAATCAGGCCCTGGGGTAAATTTAACCAGGTAAATGCATAGCATCAACCAATCATATTTCTAACACAAAAAATGTTTCCAGGATGATGCTGCTACTGCAGCTGCTTGCACAAGGGACAGGCTTGTACAGCGGAAGGAAAAACTTTAGGTTAGCACTACTTCAACGTTTTTCTTTCTTCACCAATCACCAATAATCTAATTGGAAATAACTCAGAAATCATTTCCATTTTTCCTTCTTCAATTTGATACACAATTGGGAACAATAATTTCTTGGAAGGACAACCAAGTTAAACTGGCATGGCTAACTTTGGATTGGTCAAACAAAACACAAGAAAAATGTGGATTTTATGGACGGTGGGGAGCTTAATGGAATTTTGTTTTGTCTGGTCTAATCGGACACTGAAATTTTACCATTACAATGGAAAAATGAAACATGAAAATTTTCCTTTTGATAGAGATGTTCCCATCCCCATTATGGACGTACTATTCAGTGGGAGGTCCATCTCCTATCACTCAATCTCTATCTATAGGTCGGTCATCCATTTAAAAGTCTGGTTCAAAATTAAAATTTTATTATTTTTAAATATATTTCAAAATTAAAATTAAATAAAAACAAATTTTAATAAAAACAAAAATTTTAGTCAAATCAAAACAAATTTCAAATTTAAAATTCATATCGAAAATCTAACTTGAATTGAACCAAATACTCATGTAGCTTCATAGCACCAAAAGAATATAAACATACTAATTGTGATTTTTTTTTTTTTTGGGTTATTAGTTTGAAAGAGGCTACTTGAAGTTGAAAATTTTCTTCCTAAACCTAATGTGTGATTATTCATTAAATTATTCTCCACATGTCATGAGTTAAGAGGAGAAACAAAATTGACTAAACTATTAAATTTTTGTTAAATTATAATGAATCACATGTTAGGAAAATTTTTCATTAATTTCACTACTTTTAAACAAAGATAAACTGTGAATCATGTGACATGTCAATTGACAAAAGATAATTTGACTGATTGTTTCTCGTATCAAATTTTCTTTTCGTATTTAGAGGGGTGAATGTCAGTTGACAATTTCATTTTTCGTGTGAGACTAGTTTTTATGTTTTAAATAATTAAATATAATATTTAAAATAAAAAAATCATTAATTTAATAATATTAAAATCGATTTTAGAATTAAAATTTTAAATTTAAATTTAGTCGTGGGTAAAAACCAAATATATATATATATATATATAAAGAAAAGAAAAGCACTAAGTACTATATATTTATGTTAATGGTTATAGCTTTTTTCATAGTTTAATTATATAAAAAGGGCACGTGCAAAAATATGAAGTTCAATTAATAAATTTTTTTTTTCATATCATGAAAATTTATTTTTTATCGTTTAAAACCTTCATTTATAATATATAAAAAATAAGTTTTAATTATTAATTGAAAAAGAAGTTGAGAAAATTTTATTATTAAAAAAAGCAAAAAATTTAGGAATAAGTCATTTTAGAATTTATTGAATAATCAAGCATTAACTAATGTCTTTCTCCTGAAAATTGCGTGAATCATATGACAGAAGAAACGATGAAAAATGCCCAGATATGTAATTTCTTAGTCATATGTGGTGACTTTTCAATTCCAAAACGAGGAAAGCCGAATTTGACTTTTAATGGTAGGACCAAGAGAAAACAACCCACAACAAATAAGAAATGAAACCAGCAGCACAAGTTGGAAGTGGAGAGAAGCCCTGCTGAACCCCTTATATTATCTCCTTTCATATCTCTTATCTTTTCTAAACCTTGTAAAAAAAAAAAACCCAGGAGCTTAAGTCCTGAAAGGCTGAAACGCGTGCAAGTGCTTGCATCAGGCTCTGGGGGATTCAATGGCCAGTTGGGTTTTAACAGATTCTCTTATAAGACCCCTCCCTGGAAATAGAATCTTTCCTAAACCCAGATGCACATCAGCTACAAATAACAATAATGTTTTCAAGATTAGAAATTTACCAGGTTCTAAAGCTAACAGTTTTGGTTCTTCATTCAAGGTCTCAACTTTGTCTAGAGACAGAAACTGGGGGCTGTTGAATGTGAGTGCTCCATTGAAGGTGGTAATTACTAGCGAAGATGACAAGGATAAAGAGACGATTAATGGGGTTAATGGGATGGAAGATGGTGGTGAGTTTGACCCTGCTGCACCACCTCCTTTCAAGTTGGCTGATATTAGAGCTGCTATACCAAAACATTGTTGGGTTAAGGATCCAGTGAGATCTATGAGTTATGTTGTAAGAGATGTTGTTGTGGTTTTTGGATTGGCTGCTGTTGCTACTTACTTCAACAATTGGCTTGTTTGGCCTCTTTATTGGATTGCTCAGGGAACAATGTTTTGGGCTCTTTTTGTTCTTGGTCATGACTGGTAAGTCCGTTTCTCTTTTTTTTTTTTTTTTTTTTCTGAATTCAGTTGCAGTTTGTCTTAAGGCAACTCGTAATTTGTTGCTTTAGATGTCATTTCTGGTTGTCTCACTCTGGTTTCATCTGTGTCAGAATTTCTTACTGTTTTCCTTTTTTTAAAAGCTTTTCATGAGATTTCATATTGAATTCACACATTCACATATATGTTTTTTAATGTTTGGTTTTGTTTTTGCAGTGGTCATGGTAGTTTCTCAAACAATCCAGTATTGAACAGCGTGGTGGGTCATCTTCTTCATTCTTCAATTCTTGTTCCGTACCATGGATGGTAAGTTCCTTAACAATCCCATTTAGTCCAAACTGAGTCTATTCCCATTATTTTAACTCATTTTGTGCCGTATACAATTCCAATTGCCAATTTCTAAGTAACAATTTTGATGATATATGCAGGAGAATTAGCCATAGAACTCATCATCAGAATCATGGACATGTTGAAAACGATGAATCATGGCATCCGGTAAAGGCTGCTAATTCTCGATTAATTCTTGCTTCAGGAGAGTGATTTAGTAGTATTTTTCCTTTCATTGATTGCAATTACTTATATATACACCATTTCCTTTTGCAGTTGTCTGAGAAAATTTACAAGAGTTTAGATAATGCAACCAGATTACTTAGGTTCACCTTGCCTTTCCCTATGCTTGCTTATCCTATCTATCTGGTAAGCCATACAAATAACAAATGCTTAACTGATTGAATTCATTCATGAACCTGTGATTTGTATTTACATTAATTTGTTTTGAAATATGTATTTCAATCACAGTGGGGTCGAAGTCCTGGAAAAAAGGGTTCTCATTTCCATCCAGACAGTGATTTGTTTGTTCCAAATGAAAGAAAAGATGTAATTACCTCCACTGCTTGTTGGACAGCCATGGTAGGGCTGCTTGCATATTTATCTTTTGCAATGGGACCAATCCAATTGCTTAAACTCTATGGCATTCCTTATTGGGTATGTTCAATTCCTTCCTATACATTTCTCTCCAGTTGCAGAGAGTTTCTTCAAGTCTTTCTTTTCTGGTCCTAATTTATTTACTGAATTCACACATAAAATGTAGATCTTTGTCATGTGGTTGGACTTAGTGACTTACCTACATCACCATGGCCATGAGGAGAAACTTCCATGGTACCGTGGAAAGGTACAAAAAATGTTTCTGCTAGACTATTGCTTCAATGGTAGTTCCATCTGCATCATGAAGTAAATTTTAGACAGCAAAATTTATGCTTTGGCAATTGAACTACACTGTATATGAAACAGGAATGGAGTTATTTGAGAGGAGGGCTTACAACACTTGATCGCGACTACGGATGGATCAACAACATCCACCATGATATTGGAACCCATGTTATACATCATCTCTTCCCCCAAATCCCACATTATCACTTGATTGAAGCCGTGAGTATCATTCCTCTTTCCTGCATCAATTTTCTGATAAAAAATTTAGTTTCCCATACCTTTCTTATCTGCTAAGAATGTTTCATAAACTTGAATTACAGACTGAGGCAGCAAGGCCAGTACTCGGGAAACACTACAGGGAGCCTAGGAAATCCGGGCCTGTTCCATTTCATTTATTTGGGATCCTCATAAGAAGCATGAAAAAGGATCACTATGTGAGTGACACTGGTGATATTGTGTATTATCAAACAGACTCTCAATTATTTGGAACCAGCAAATCAGATTGAAGTCCTGAAGTGTTTCAAGCTTAACAAGTAAAATCCTACATATTCTCTCCGCCAAGTATTTAATTACTGAGTTCCAACCGTGATTCGAATATGTAATATAGCATTTGATAGTCATTCTGCCACTTGATTTTATTCCTTCTCTCCCAACTGACAAGAGCCTATGATGCTTTTCATTCACAAGCTCTTGCCTATGAAATGTTAATACAAAAGAAATCTGCAATTTCAGTTGGGACTCGCTCCCTTGGGTGCTCTATGAGCAATACAAATGGTGTGAACGAAGTAGAGAAGACAATAGATATTAGTCTCTTTCGAGATTCTATAAAAAGCCACACAAGTGAAATGCAGTTGAATTATGGTCCTACATGACCAAGACAAGTGCAACAATATATGGTCACAAGCATGTTGCTTTCATAGCTTCAACCACACAATGACCATGTGCATGTTCTATGGCGGCAGATGATCATCAACGAGAGGTGTAAACATTGCAAATAAAGCACCATTTTGCATTTGCGATTCATCATGTTTAACTTTTTTTAATTTCATTTTACATCATTGAATATGCAAGAAAACAATCCTACTCTTTCAGGGTGGTGTGTTACAAGATGTCTTAAAGCTATTACAATTTCACCTAAAAGATTGACCAACAGGCTAGTTACCAAATTCCCTTGCGACTCTTGAAATTTCCTTTGCAACTGAAAGGGAAACGGACTGTTTGGACTTGGGCCAAGGGACCATCCCAATAAAATTGGCACCAGCTTCTGCTGCCTTAGCAGCATCTCTAGCTAATGTAACACCACAGATTTTGACCAAAGGGTGATTCTGTTCATGCTCCTCATCAGTGGAGAAGACTTGGTTCAATTGTGCAATGTTGCATCTGATTTTGTTCTTTGGGTATGACCTGATTCTTAAGGCCTGCAATTTTCCTCCATTTGTGCCTGCTGACCAGTTAATACAGACACTCTTGAGGAAAAAAAGACACTAAACGTTGAAAGAATCATCTGAAATCAGAAGCTACCAGTGATTTGCCTTCGATGAAAGTTCAAAAGTTTAGGCTGGAATTGACTTCCAGTTGTTATACCTGTGTCAACAATTATATAACTGTAAAAAATAAAGTAAAAAACATGTCCTACTAACAGAAATGAATGATAAGAGAGACAAAAGAATCACAATTTAAGTTTGTGTCCGACTAAAATTAAGCTTAAGATACAGCACAAAGTCCATTGCATTGTAATTAATGATATCAAAACAAGACTGAGGCATACATTGGAAGATAGAGTTTGTAAAAGTGACATGGTTTTATAATCATTTAAGCATTCATTTTGGTTGCAAATAAAGCAACTATATAATTCAAATACACCAGATTATAGCTTTTTTGATAGAATCAAAACCCATTAGTCATTGAAATACACAGGGTCAAACCTACAATACAAAAAAAATCCCCCAAGAGATATAGAAAGAAGAACTTTATATGTAAATAGAAAATTTACTCAAAATTCATTAAATCCAGAAATAATAAGAGATTTCATAAGAAAATGATAGGAATAAAAAAATAAAAATAATACGATTTAAAATTTTAACAAAAATCATAAATAAGTTTAACAAAATAAAAAAATACATATTTCATGTTTTTATATTAACACGAATTATGACAAGTAATTTTTATATAAAACATAAAATAAAAAATAAATTTATTAATATTTTACACAATGTATATATACAAATTGTCATATCTTACTTTATGCAAACCCATAAAGCAAGTGTATAAAATCTTTTAAATGGATAACAAAACTCTGTTTTGTTGAGCCCAAAGCAGCCCATTCAAGCCCAACATTTGTGTTTGGGTCCAACAAGAAATGAACGGCTTCTCTTTGGGCTAATCGGACCCATTTATTTGGGTTGGGAGGGTCTAATAGGAAACAAATCATTGTTTAAGTGGACCAAGTAGGCTTCTTCAGCCCCTTTAGGGCTTTCCAATGAATCCAATAGTAAAGCCCATTTCTAGCCATTCCGTTCGGTCCAATAATATTTTTAGTTTTTTACAATTAGTTAAAATATTATTTCATAATAATATTCCTCCATTAAATAGAGATAATTGAAGATTAATGTTATGAATTTTATTATATTAAAAAATAAATTACTTAATATAATTATTTGTTAACAAAAATGTAACGATAGATTAGGTCATCTCCAACTAAGAAAAATAGTTTAAAATGAAGAATAATTCTTCACTAAAATCAAATTTTATTCCCAAAAAGATACTACTACTACTACACTACTTAGTGGGTATGAAGAATTATAACCACTAACAATCAAAGTGAACTTTCAATCCAAAAGCATCACGCCTTAATTCCCTGCTTTTTACTTGGCAACGTAGCCAGCAGCAGAATGAAGTGGGAATCCCACCCCCACAATCGATCATATCAGCCTATATTGCAGAAGAATTGCTAATGACACTTTGGTACTAAAAGTAAATGCGTTTCGGCATTTGATTTAATGATTCGTGTATTATATTTTTAATTTATATTATAAAAAAAGTTTAATTCGATGATTCGTATAATATTTTCTTGTTAAAAATATAATAACATCTAAACATTTGATTCAATAAATTATACATAATATTTTAAAGTTATATCGTAAAATATTACTACAAACGCTTTTGTATGAAAATAAATGCATTAGATTTTTTTTTTTAACAAGAAATTTAAATATAGAGATATTGCACAGTTTCTTGTATTAAAATAAAATATATTTTATCTGATAATTTAAAAATAATAATTTAAAATTATATATTTAAAATGATTTAATAAAAAATTATCAATTAAATTCGAATTTAAAATATTTATATTAGTGTAAATAATCCTTGCTAATTCAATCAATCTCTTCTCGGTGCATTGGAGCATTTGCTTCAATATTTCTGGCATATTCATTATCTCTTTACTAAAAAAACACAACCCTAATCTCCTTTTTCCAAATAGTATAAAAAGAATAGATCAGCGCCATCAAAGACACTTGTTGGATAACCAACAAATTGTAAACGTTTGGTTGAGAATTGAGTCTCATGGGCGGCTCTCAAAAAAGACACTTTCTCTTCTTCTTGGAAGAGCAATAATAAAGACAAAGAACAAGGATGGGACCCAAGGCCCAGTTTTTGGATATTTGGAGGCTCCATTAAATCTTATCCTTGGCAAACAGAAAGACTTGAGCTTCCTTAGGATATAAATAATGACAAGGTGGGTGGGTATGGGCAACGAGCAATGGGCACTCACCAATGGCATGGTCAGCTTGAACTTGACAACTAGCATATTCTTCTAGTTTTGATGATATCAACAATGAAATATATTAAATATCCTGCTCTCCTATTTGGCTTTCTTTTTTCCACATTCATTCAAATACAATGTATAGCACCTATGAAAATGACAAAACTGAATAACACTAAAAATTTAAATTAAGTTTTATCATTTTTCTTGAAATTATTGGTAACAACCTTGTTAATGGAAAGTTGCATGTGTCACAAGTTGAAGGGAAGGATAGCTGCGTATCTATCCTAGATAGGAGGCTATGCCTAAGCTTTAGGAAAATCAGTGGTTCTCTTTAAATAAGGGGGATGGAGCATCCTACCAGAGACTTTCATTATGATAAAGGGCTTTAAAAGCTTGATCTAGATCAAATACTAATCCCCTAGTTTGATGTAGTCTGGTTTATGGTGTTACAGTTGATTGGATTCTACGAACCAAAGCAAGTTTGAGCTCAGGGTCTGTTTTAATAACCAACAGGAACAGCTAAAGCGGCTGTTGAACACAGGATTACTGTACTAAAAAAAGCACCAAGCTTTAATCCAAACTCTTAATGCAGTCATCCGAGCCATCAAGAGAACATCAAGCAATGAACTATCAATACCAAGCTACAAAATTTTGAGACCTATTGGCACCCATTTTTTCCAAGTTGTCAGCCAAGGAATTAGCCTCACTGGGGATTTTGATTTTGGAGAATCGAACAGAAGAAAGTAAGTATCAATACACCACGATAATGTATCATTTTAAAACAAATTACATTATGGAAAATTACGAGTCATTGATGAAGTACATAATGGAGGATTTCCTTCAAAGATTGCAGAACAATCCCCGAAAGGGGAAAAAAAAGAATTAAGAATATGAAATAATCAATAAATTTCTTTGTTGCTTGATCCATTTTGATCCTAATTCTCGCATATAAGCATAGACTTGAATGTTGCTGCCCAAATATGTTTGGTTTCTTGCCTGATCAGTAGATATATCACCTTTCACCTTCTACCAACCAACTACAGCTATCAAATACTACTCAGAATCCAAGAATATGAAATAAGTTTTAGAATAAAGCTATGAGCAAACGGATCTTTCTTATGCCACCATCTGCTCCTGTTCTATGTACATTGGATCCACCCATGGTGGAAGTGTTTCTCGAGTACCTTTACCAATACTGTATTGCCGCTGCTGCTGTAACCCACCTCCCACAGGAGGAACATCTCTCACAAGGGAATGAACCCAAGACACATCCGGCTCATCAACATCAGATGGGGTCATGTTTGTTGTTGCTGTTGCAGCCGGATTGCTGTTTCGAAACCCAAAGGAAGCAGACTTCCTAAGCTTGTTCAGCTCATCTCCTTGAATGCCCCAATCCAATTTCCCATCGGGAGAGCTCCAGTCAGAAATATTTGCAGACATCATACTTGCGGAATTGGCAGGTGCAGTAAGTCCAGCACGACTGGTCACTGCTCCACGGTCTATAAAACTCTGGCTTCGTTTTGCAAATGCAGAAGACCTGGAATTCATTAGTGCTGCTGCCACTGCAGCGGATGAATCAAAACCAAAGGCCGAGGGCTTCCTCACTGAAGATGATGAAAGGTTCATTGGGTAGCTTGCACGGAGTTGGTTCAAGTTTTGGCGAATTTGAAGCCCAGTTGGAGAATGCAACTGGGTTGGTTTTGCAGATTTTACTGACAGTCCCTTCAATGGAGATAGCAGGGAATGATCTAGTGATCCAAATGCATCATCAAGATTAGTAGGCTTCAAATCCCCAAGCCTACTGTATTCCTTATTCCAGCAAGATGGGGAGGAGAGACTAGATATCTTATCCATCAACTGTTGCTGCTGCAATTGGCTTTCAAGCCCAAGTAATTCCATTTCCAAATCAAAGTCTCTGGCACTAAAAGCAGTCTTCAAGCGGCTACCTGGTAGCTGCAAGGCAGGTGGAGTGAGGTTAATTTTATTCTGCCACAAGCCTCCAGTCTTTGGAGAGGAAGAGGCAGCCAAAGGAGACATGGGTGGTGTTGAAGCAGTAGGCAGTGGCAAGGATGATGAACCAAGTGCTAGAGGGCTCAAAGTTGTCATGTCCACTGCATTGACTGCTGCAGACCTCGGTGATGGCATGGCTGAACCGGTGGAAGCATACACAGGGCGCAATTCATCAGGTTTGTGTGCAAAGAAACAGACTTTGCGTGTACAGCCAATCTCATCTTTGCAAAGCCTTGTCCGGTACTGCGCAGGATGAAGCCAGGATTCAAAAACACCATGTGCATATTCACAAGCATCACCCTTAGGGCATGCCCCCTTCCGAAACTCTGGGCAGGGCACACAGCTATAAGTATGCTTCCTTGGGTCCCTCCTCCTCGCATTCTCACCAGGATGAACAAAAGGGCACTCGGTCCAATCATGGGAATATGCCCTTGAGCAAGGCTTCACCTTAAAGGTATACATCCTGAAGTCATCAGTTCCATATATCCCGTTGTTGATATCAGGCAGTGATACATCAATAGGATATTCTTTCTTCTCAGACCCTTCTTTCAGCAACTGAGGTAGAGCTATCCTTTCGGATTCTTCCAGGTTAAGAACATGATCACTAACACCAACAACATCATCACCTTTCAGCAACAACTCAATAACCTTTCTTCTGGAATTACTCAAAGATTTTAAAGCTGGCACAATCAGATCAATAGGCTTGTTCCCATTAGCATCAACACAATTAGCATCTGCTGACGCATCAAGCAAGAACTTGACAATCTCTACCGAAGAATTCGAACCACCGGCAACAGCACAATGAAGTGCAGTAACTCCATCACTACCACAAGCTCTATTCACATCAATCTTGCCACTTTCAATGATGTATTTCAAAACTTCAACGCTACCAAACATGGCAGCTATTATCAGGGGCGTCCTCTCTTCAAATCCCATCTTTCTTGACCCTATTCTTCTACCATACCAGAAGCTTGCCTCACCAAGATCCAAACCTTTCTCTTCAACTTCACTTTTAAAGGCTACCAGATCATCAGAGGCGGCCAATTCAAGCAAAACTGAGCATTTACATAAAGCAAAGGCTTTACGCTCTTGTAATTCACCTTCCATGATGAAATTTGAAGGAAAAAGCTCACTCTTTGAACCACTACACATC